GCTCACATTAAGCCTACATGTCAGAAAAAATCCAACAATTTACCACTTAGGCTTTATGTGACACCTTAGTTATGCATTAAATAATTGTAGGAGTACTCATAACTGTGTTATCAATACTTGAATGTATCACCAAATAATCATGTCCATCGATCATAATGACATATAATCAAAATGACCTTCGCTACAGCTAATGTAATTAAACTCATCAATGGTCACGTATATCAGTATAACCGAACGATATAGATCAAACATGGATGTGCAACATGGAAATTACATGCTATGTGATCCAAGTATGTTTATTTCCAACTGATCCTGTCTTAACCTTAATGAAATCAACAGTAAGGAAACTCAAAGATAACATATATAAATAAAAATATAAAAACTGAAATGAAACCATATATACATAAATCAAAGCCAAAACTAAAAGTATAAAATTTATAACATGTCTTACAAAATAAATATAATTATGGTATAAGACTCCCACGGAACCTATACATCATTTAAGGTACAATACCCATATGAGTAGTGTGCTCATGAAAGACCTTAAGTGGTAATCCTTTAGTGGGTGAATCTACAATCATAGAGTTTGTTCTAATATACTCTATTGATATTTGCTTACTGTGAACTTTTTCTTTAACAACGAGGAACTTGATATCTATATACTTTGATTTCATTGAGCTCCTATTGTTGTTAAAATACATAACTACAGACTTATTGTCATAAAATATTTCTAATGGTCTTTCTATGCCATCAACAATATACAACCCAGTGACAAAATTTCGCAGCCTTATTCCATGATTAAATGCCTCATAACAAACTACAAACTCTGTTGTCATAGTAGAAGAGGCTATAAGGGTTTGCTTAGCACTCTTCTAAGAAATAGTTCACCTAACAAGCAAGTAAATATAGCATGATATAGATTTTCTACTGTCTTGACATCCAGCGAAATCAGAATAAGAATAACCAATGATCTCTAACTGATATGACCTCTTGTATGTGATAATATAACATTTTGTTATCTGTAGATACCACATGACACATTTAGCTCCTTTTCAATGATCCATACCTGGATTACCTAAATATCTGTATAATATTCCAACAATGTACGCAATATTCGGACATATACAAACTTGTGTATATATAAAACTTCCTACAACTGAAGCATAAAGAATCTTTTGCATCTTTATAGTCTCTAGGTCATTATTGGGGCATTGACTTAGAGTAAACTTATCTCCTGTAGAAACAGGGAAGTCACATGGCTTATATTCATACACGTCAAATATTTTAAGAACCTTTTCGATATAATTCTTTTGTGATAATCCAATAATACCCTGATAGCAATCCCGGTATATCTGGATCGCTAATATAAAAGAGACGTCCCTAAGATATTTTATATCAAATTTTTTTGTTAGAAAACTCTTAGTTTCGTGCAATAAGTCTATTTCACTATTGACAAGCAGTATGTCATTGACATATAAAACTAAAAAAATATACTTACTCATACTGAACTTGTGGTATACACAGTCTTCTACTAAATTCATCTCAAAATTAAACAAGATGACAACTTGATGAAATTTGTGATATCATTTATGGGAAGCCTACTTAAGTCTATAAATAGATTTCTTTAGTTTGTAAACTATTTGCAGTGCATCTCTAGATACAAAGTTTTATACTTGCAGCATATAAATTGTCTCATCAATGTCAATATTGATAAATGTTGTCTTAACATCCATATGATGTAACTCAAGATCAAAATATGTCATTAAAACCATTATAGTCCTGAAAGAGTCTTTCAACGAAATCAGAGAGAAAATCACTTCATAATCGATGTCTTCTTTCTGTGTAAAGCCCTTAACGACAAAAATTATCTTAGCAGTTGGATCATAAAATTTGTAACCCTTAGATGGTTCAGAATAACTAACAAATTAACAACTAACAGTTCTTGAGTCTAGTTTCTTTTCCTGTGGTCTAGAAGGCCTAGCCTCAACTGGACATCCCCATATGTGCAAATGTCTCAAATTAACCTTTTTACCCCTCCAAAACTCATAAGGGGTCTTTGTAGTTACTTTAGTTGGAACTCTGTTAAGTAAATATATTGTGATCTTTAATGCTTCTCCCTATAGTGATTTAAGTAAGGTAGAATAACTAATCATACTTCTCACCATATCCTTAAGTGTTATGTTTCACCTTTCAGCAACAATGTTCATGATAGGAGAACCTGACATGGTGTACTATGGGACGATACTGCATTCTTTTAAGAATCGAGCAAATGGCTTTGAACGTTGTTCACCTTATCCATCAGATCTACCATAGTATTCACCAATACGATCAGACGTAACAGCTTTAATTCTTTTGTTGAGTTGATTCTCAACTTCTATTTTAAAACTCTTAAACACATCTAGGAACTGAGACTTCTCATGAGTGAAATATAGGTAGTCATATTTGAAATAATTATCTATAAACATTATAAAATATTATTGACTATTCTAAGAAGCCGTAGGGAACGATCCATAAATATCTGTATAAATGAGTTCTAATACGTCCATAGCCCTGTTGGTATTTAATCTCTTAATGTTTGTAGGTTTTCTCTTGATACAATGGACACATATATCAAAAATTATAAAATTAAAAGGATCTAGAATTTCATCTGATACAAGACTCTCAATTCTTCTTTGGGAGATGTGACCTAATCTCTTGTGCCATAATGAAACGAAATTCTCATTGGTTAATTTTTTCTTTACACCTCTTGTACCAATATGCAAGGATTTATTATAAGAAGCAATTGTATCAAACAAATAAAATTATCATGTGCTGATAAAGAACCAAAACCAACCAGATTTGAATTAAGAAAAAAACTAAAATTTTTATTTTCAAATAAACATGAATAACTAAATTTATTCAATATAGAAACATAAATCACATTCGGTCTAAGATACAGTACAATAAAAGTCTCTTTTAAATTCAAATAAAATCGAGTCCTTAATAACAATTTAAATTTGTCAATTGCTTCTACCTCGACTGGTTTTTCATTATTCACATAAACGAACCTGGCACCATCACTTGGTTTGTGACAATGGAGACAATCTTGCATAAACACATTGATATTAGTTGTGCCACCAAAATCTATCCACCAGTTGTATGTAGGTGTAGAAGTTAAATTAATCTTAGAACAAACAAAATTAAGAAGCATACATTTCTTTGCGTGCCATACATGATAGTTAGCGCATTACTTCTTCTAATGTCCCAGAGCTTTACAGAAGGAACAAACATTTTTCAGTTTGAACCTTTTGTTGATTCTTCTGTTGTACTGGAACTGCAACAAATGTATTTATTTTTTTTCTTGTTCTTCTTATCTTTTGAGATCACTATGAAATGAGCATTCTCTGTTCTCTTAGACTTGAGTATTTTCTCCTATTGAACACAATGCGAAATGAGCTCATTTAGATTTTTAGAATTCTTTCTGACAGTTGTATGTCACCTTAAAATGATTGAACTGTGATGGAAGAGAAATAAAAACAAAGTACACAAGTACTTCTTTTGACAATTCGACTCTAAATAATTTGAGTTTTACATACACATGTGACATCTCCATTATGTGCTATCTTGTGTTTTCATTTTCTTTATACTTCATAGAAACAAGAGTCGACAAAAGTATACATGTTTCGATCTTATCACTTTTGGCAAAACGTTGCTTTAGAAAATGAAAGAAATCTCTTACTGTTGTGATCTTATCGGATATAATGCCTTGAAAAACTTCTAAAATTGTCTGTTCCATAACCAACATACTCATATGGTTTGATCGATTCTATCTTTCAACTCTTTTTTTTTTCTCAAGGGTAATGTCAGAAGTAATTGGATTTGGTTGATCAACCTGTAAAGCCCAATCCAAATCCATAACTCCAAATACAAGTTGAACACTATTCTTCTATTGCTTGAAATTTACGCCGTTCAACATTTAGATGGAATTAACATTCATATTGATACTTTTAGTAGAACAGAACGTTGAATAGAGAGCATACAAAAAATAAATTAATTAATACTCACATAAAACTGTAAGTCAAATTTAATAATAAATTTTAAATAAATGTATATTTCCATATCGAGATACCGAACACTCCATTAATATGCTATCTTTATACAGAATATTGACTTGTAAATGGTTCCTTGTAACAACAATTAAATACAGACAATAGAAATACATCAAATAATAAACCTTACTTTTAGACCGATTTAAAGTTCACATGTTATACTGAATAACTGTCATGTATTCATTACCAAAAAAATGGAATGCAATAATGTTAAATATTAACCTTCTTTTGAGCCATACAATTGAATTATGAAAAAAAATCACCCACAAAATGACCAAAATCCATTGATTGTTAACTGGTCAACACCCCAGTCAGATCTTGGACATGGTTGGTTCGGGCCAGGTTAGCCTAGTCCAAACCTGTTTGGGCTTTGACCTAGCCGAATGTGTAATATTTGAGCCCAAAATTTAGTTCGGAATAAATTTTTGTGTTTATAAAAATAATAAAAATATTATTTTAATATAATCTTATTAAATTATTTGAAAAAAAATAGGTTAGGAATGTAATTGAAAGCAATTTTGGGAAAGATATGTGAAAATTTGAGTTGGGGGGATGTTTTTGAAAGAAAAATTAGAAACATGGGATCAAAATACAAACAGAAAAATTTCAGCTACGTGGGACAGCACAGTCAGCAAATCCGACGAAACAGAGCATGATGTGTGACAAAACACACTGACGTCGGCGCCACGCGAAAGGCCATGCGAGCTATCCACGTGCCTAGTGATCCGACAACCTAGATTCAATCCTGCACGCATCAATGACCCAGATGCATTCTCTTTTTATATACGATCAGACAGACAAGATCAATCCCGATGAACAATTCAGATTCGCACACACAATTGACCTAAACAAGCAACGATCAGATGGTTCTCCTCGCTCCACGTTGACGCGAATGGGTGGTCCAGATCAACGTGAGATGAGTATATAAACATCGCGTCGTAGGGGGAACCCTAACCCTACTGCCTCGTCCTTATCAGCGAAGAAGGACAAGCTGCCGGAGAAGGAGACCGACCCCTAATGGCCGCATCAAAGCCACTGCTGACCGTCAAAAAAGGTAAAATTCTCCCCTACTTGTTCGTAATTCGATTTTAAGTCTCCCCGTAACTATATCAGAGCAAAAAGGACAGTGGAAGAGTCAGAAACTACGACAAAACCTAG